GGACCAAAACATCCCAATCAAGTTGTAAAAGTTTTTGTCGGGTGGCCAAAGACACGTGTGGTCTAGCGTTGTCTTGATGGAACACAATGCCCTTTCTGTTGGCTAATTCAGGTCGCTTCTGGTCAATTGCTCGCTTTAATTCACTTAGTTGTGAACAGTATTTCTCTGAATTAATGGTCTGATTTTCAGGTAACAGCTCATAATAAATGATTCCCTTCCAGTCCCACCAAATGCATAGCATAACCTTCTTTGGATGTAAACTGGCTTTTGCGCTGGTTGAAGGGGCATCTCCGTGCTTACACCATGATCTTTTACGCTTAACATTATTGTACACAATCCATTTTTCATCACCTGTAATGATTCGCTTTAAAAATGGGTCAATTTCATTGCGCTTCAATAGAGAATCGCAAGCAGAAATTCGGTCTATCAAATTTTTTTCTGTTAACTCGTGCGGCACCCATACATCGGCCTTGCTTACCATTCCAAGTTGATGTAATCGCCTTGACACTGTTGACTGATTGATTCCAAGAATTTCTCCAATCTCTCGAGTTGTTTTGTGTCGATCACTTTCAATTAGTGCCAATATTTTGTCGTCATCAGCCTCGGCTGGTCGTCCAGAACGTGGTGCATCGCTAAGGTTAAAATTGCTTTCACGAAACTTTCTAAACCACTTACGGCACGTGGAATCATCAATGGCTCCCTCACCATACACAGAACATATCTTTTTTTGTGTCTGCGAAGCATTCTTGCCTTTTCGGAAATAAAAAAGCATAATATGTCGAAAATGCTCCTTATTTTCTGCCATTTGTAATGCTTAACAAAATTTTAAAAACACAACTAAGTAAGACAACTTTATTCTCAAATACTAGCTGAGATCCCTTCTGTCAAACAACGTCGAAATTTTACACATGTGAAAGAAATAACACTTCAGTGTTGTGCTTTTAGCCAGTTGGTGTTAAAAACGGGACGAACTTTTGCATCAACCCAATAGTTATAGTCTTTCAAAAAAGAATAAATTGAAAGAGTTAGTTTTCACATTTGCATAAGGCTCAATATAAGCTCATAATCATATATTGTACTTACTGGATAAATAAAATACGATAAACAACACACCTTTAACAATCCAGCAAATTAAATTTACTAAAATAAAAATGTTTTCGATTGTTTTAACTGATCTTCCTCAGTTACCATAAAATAGAACGTGAAAATAGAACATAAATTTAAAAATAAGTGAAAATGAGAATTTTGAAATAAATACATAAATAACAGAAAATATAGTTGTGGACAATAAAATAAATAACAAATAAATGTCTCTTAATAAAATTAATCTTCATAAAAAGACCGCCATGCGGTAGCCAATGTGTCTGCATCTCTATGGTTGATGCAACTGGTTCTTTTGTGTGCTTTAAAAATCTCCAATCTTTGAAGATATTTCATCATGTGTATATTTGTTGTTAGTTTGATAATTGATGCTTGCTCCCATTGGACATGAATGTCCTGTTGCTGTGCATAAGCTTCTTACCAATTGTATATTTATGCTCCTTGAGCCATTGTTGTAAGTTGCCCATCGTGGCACCCACATAGACTAGTTTAGATTCAAAATGTTGGTCGTTTAATGGGATGGAGTAGATTCTCATGGCCAAATTACGGTTATATTGCTTTTTATTGTTCCTTAAAATTCTGAAAACCATAGGGTTGCGTCGATATACTTGGAGATTATTAGCCTTGGCTGACTTCTTATGTATTTTCCTTAAAAATGAGATATAATTTAAAACCACCCTTTGTTTTCAGTCCAATGAGGTATGCTGATGTTTTGTTGCTTGAAAGTTTGTGATTAATTTCTCTATCATTTTCCTCGGGTATCCTTGTTCTGCAATTCTTAAGATGTAATTTAGCTCTGTTACTGTGTCATTTATGCTTGTACAATGCATATAAACTCTTCTTCTCCAAGATTTTTATTTTTATTAAGCGACATTTATTTGCTATTTATTTTATTCCTGTAATTATTTATTTTATTGTCCACAACTACATTTTCAGTTATTTATGTATTTATTTCAGAATTCTCATTTTCATTTACTTTTAAATCTATGTTCTGTAATAAACAGTAGATTTATTTCTGTTTCCATTGCGCTTGATAATTCAATCTTTGCTTTTTCAGCAGCCTGTTTTCACATTCTATTTTATGGTAACTGAGGAAGATCATTAAAATGATCAAAAACGTTTTTATTTTAGTAAGTTTTATTTGCTGAATTGTTAAAGGTGTGTTTTTTATAATAACCTCATAATTCTTAATTAAAGACAGACTGATAATTACTACTGATCAATTATTAAAAATAAGTGTTGAATCTCTTTATCTTAAATTGAAAATAATTTTTAAGGTCAACAGAAAAGGTCCCATCCAATTCCTTGTATAAAACTTCATATGTAACTACATTAACTAAATTGATATTTCTTCAATACTTTTGGGATAAAAAGGGTGTAAGAGACTTTTGACTCACTGTATATATTGTGATGTAAAAAATATATAATAATAAGAATGTTATATTAATTATAAAAAATAATATGTGAATTTATAATTTACTTCATAATATATTTAAAAATGTAAAAGAATGAAATTTAAAACAACATAGTTGAATTTGGCTGTAAAAGCACAGTTGTAACAAGTTCACAATTATTATGAGCAAATGTTTATTTTGTTTTCAGTTAAGACTTATTTTTGGTCTAGGGAATCTAGACCAAAAATAATAACTTCCGCTTATGAGCAAATCTGTCCCACAAAGCACTCAATCAGTGGAAAAATCATTGTTACTTGAGTCAACTGCATACTGTTGTCAAAACTATGTTAAAAGTATTTTATGACCTTTTATGACTCATTTTTAAATTTATCCTTTAGTTTTCAAACTCCTTTTTTCATAAATGTTGTCTAACAAAAGAAAGTGCTTTTCAATTCACAAAAAAAAATTGGAATTATCCAACAATTAGTGTACAGATTAAAAAAATGACAGCTATTTTAAAAAACATATAGCATAGTAAGTGGAGAAGCCCATTCTACTGATCCAGAAACAACTAATAAATGAATTGAGTACTCTTGGATAGAGCACAAGAAAAATTTTAATAATGAGGACATCTACAATGCAAATGAAATGGAGCATTTTATAGCTTGATATATTCTGATTAATAGTCCTTGGGTGTGCAAACATAACAGGTACTGGTAAAAGATAACTTCTGATGGAAAATCTCTAATGCCTAAGACCTTCAAAAATATAAAGAAGTTTCCTATTAATTACACTGCTAATGAAAATTTGTAGATGAATGAAGATATTTTTCAGAGGTCTATTACAATTGAGACTAGAACAAAAAATAATTTTTAAAAAATGGAAAAATTTTATTGTTAATTGATAATTGTTTTGTTTATCCCCAATTCATGATCTACCAGTCTAATATAAGTTTAACATTATAATCTATAAACATGGGCATAATTAAAAGCATAAAAAATGTTTTATAAAAGATTTGCAATACCACATTTGACGAATCAAACAGAAAAGGAATACCACTGAAAATCTTTCAATATCAGATATTATAATTTTATTAAATGAAGCATGATACAATTCTGTTACAATTTCAGACTGCTTTACTAAATCTAAACCATCAACAAGATAAATTATGATTATTAATGCAAATAGGGAATTTAACACCCTTTCTGACTGGTTAAAAAGTAAGTAATAATATCAATTTCTTTAATAAATGAAATTAAGAACTTTGAATATGCTTGATTTATTAATTTGTGCATTTCCTATTGAAACTAACCTTGCAGAAATCATGTTTAATAATAAAAACAATGTTAGTGATGATGGGATGGCTGAATGTGAAATCATAAAATCAAAATCAGAGCTATCAATCAATGGCTTTAAATGTTTTAAGAAGTGTTTTAGGAAAAAATTTGAGAAATATGAAAATACAATTGTTAAAACAATCATAATATTTAAATTTACATATTAATATTTTATTTTATATTTTAAGCATATATTTTGAAATTAAATTAGATGATTTGATAATGCAATACAGAAAAAAATTTTAGCATTACTTTTTATAAGATTTATATAATTATAATATTGTTATTAGTTTATTTTGAACTACATATAGCAATATAAAAGAAATAAACAGACTCACTTGTCCAAAATGTGCAGGATAACCCAGCATGTGAATGTATAGCAGTTTTGCTACATTACGACACCTCCATGTATCGTCTTCCTCGCGGAAAGTTGATCTAACATAAGCACATTCTTTCTGAACAACTGCACGTTCATCGGCAGCTGTCCTAGCAGCACGGATCTGTCTGATTAAATCTCGTAAACGCATGGACGTTGGCATACTTGAAGTTAACCTAAAATAATCACATTCAATAAAGATTTAAAATAAAAATAAAATATAAAACTAGTGCAACACAAGTTAAAATTTTATTAAAAATGTAAATAATATAGAGACTGTTAAATCAGTTACCAGCAGCTGGTCTTGTTGTCAGTAATATGAATACAATCTGAATGAATCAAACATTTAAAAAATTCTTTAGGAATATGCTCAACAATTTAATTTTAGTTTGGGTTTGAACAAATTTACTATTATACTTTAAAATTTTCAATTTACTTTTCATGTATTTATTCAGAAATTAAATTTTAAAACTATATCTGATAATATTTAAAAAAAGTAACAAAAAAGAATTATTCTAAAGATAAAAGTATGAAATCTAAAGTAAAATTTATTTTTAAGAAATACCTTTGTCAAATTTTATTCTATAGTTATTCACCTTTACACTGAGCAGAAAGAATAGTTTCATAAGGAAATACAAGTATATTGAATTAAGAGATATTTTCAATGGATTTATACTCACTAATTAATTAATATTTTAAAATTAATATATTGAAAATATTTTATGTTCTACATAAAAAAACAATAATTTTAGTAAAGATAAAACTGAGAAGAAATAATTGTTGATTTTTAATAATACTTATTTTTCAAAATTAATAAAAAAAAAGTGTGGCTCCTAAACAGCTCATCATAATATATTTTATTTAAATATATTAATTTCTAAATAAATTAAATATGATGTAATCTACTATAAAGAGAACTGATATAATATGAACAATTATTTATTGACACATCATCACAATGCCAAGCTACAATTTTTTATCATATTTTAAATTTATTTAATTTAAAATATTTGTTTGCTCTCAACCTCAAATTAGTAATGGCTTGCCTCTGTACATCATACTTTTCATTTAACAAATGAGTTGTGCCAGTCATCCATTAACACCTTTCAGGGGAAATTTTTGAATTGAAATAGCATTACTTCCAGTTTGCACTGGAAGTTTGTATATAGTTAATCAGGACCTCCTGCTCCTAGTTTCCATATCTGGTCTTGTCTTTCATCTATCTAACTGTCATTCCTTAATCTATTCTTGAGATTAAGGAATGACAGATAGACAGACATCAGTGGGAATTTATAGGTCTACAAATTTTTTCAAATTGCAACCCATATGGCAATTTTTTTTAAAACATTATAGAATGTACAAAATTTAATGTTTTTTTATGAAAAGTAAATAAACCTATGATAATATAACTTATTATCTTTTCTCTGCATTTTATATTATATTGGATTGATTATTACATTTATTAAGGAAGCTCCTCAAATGTAAATCCAATTCAAACTGTTTTCCTGTTTACATCAGAGAGATTGTATTTTATTTATATTTCTTTCCACTTGAGAAGCTTTTAGTTAGAATAATGTAGTATTTTTCTCAATTTTTATTTCTCTTGTTGACTTCTGTAATGAAAAGAATTTAGTCTGAAAATGCTAGACTTTCCTGAAAAATTTTTCACATTGAGAAAAGAAACTTAAATTGGATTAATTTTAAGAAATATCACAAATCTAAATACTCAGTTAATGTTATAACTATACAGTTATTAAATATACTATACTCCTGAAAAATTTTACATATACAAATAAACAAAAGCCAAAACTTCCTATGTTTTAATACTTTTTATTTGTATTTTATATTTTTTCTGATTAACAATTTATTATAAATTTCTGCCCATAAACAGGTCATGGAGAACTTAAAATATGGAAACTGTTGTTTAGAAGGATTCAAAAATTTCAAAATATATGTTAACAATGAATTTGTTTCATCCTTAAAACAAGTAAAATGGCAAAACTGTATTTGGGACAAGACTATGTCTAGGAGACTGAATCACTTTGATGCTCAAGACAGGTCTCGTTCTCATTCTCCTATCTTTGATATCGCTGCTTTTGGGCACGATCATTCAAACTTCGCCGGCCATGACTACGAGATCATCCACAATGCATCTTTGATGAAATTAACCTATCTAATTTCAAAATTTCTCTCCGTTGCGTGTTGGCCCGGGTTGAATTTTTGTCGACGTGTAACGAAAATTTCCCGTTTTTGAAAAAAATAATCGTGGCTATTGTATCATCCGAAATTATTTTTTTATTTTGCACAAACAATATATAGTTTAACCCGATTATAACGTCATCAGATGTAACGACAACCCTAATATAACATCAAATTTTTATCGGTCCTACGATTTTACTATACTAGATAGTGTTAAAAAAACCTCACTTGTAATGACATAAAACCATTTTAACGTCATATTTGATGCACTCCCAAATTTACAAAATTAGATTATAAATTTTATTTAACCTAGAAGAAACTGGATGTTCACTTCTTAAAATGACTGCAGGTGGTATTCTCCCCTACCTGACTTCAGTGGGGTGAGGTGGCTGTTTTGCCTGTTTGTAGAAGAGGGTCGCCATTTTGTATTTTATTTTGACTCGATTCTCTGTCCCGACTACCTACGAGTCTGGATTTTTTTATGCGCAAGTGATTTGGGCACCTAATACTCTGTGCCAAATATCAACTCTCAACATGTACTCCTTCATACCTCTATGCTGGTAAGAACGGGTGGCAGTACAATTTTATAAACAAGACATAGTCTTGTCAATAAAGAATAAAATTATGAAGATGATGAAAGTCATCTTCCTCTTCCTTAACAATCTATTTAAAGAAATAAAAAGAATGTTACTTTAACAATAAGAAATTATCAGGTACATTTTTAAAGCAAGGTCTGTTTTGAAATAAGATTTAAAAAAAACATGAAAGACAAAAACAATTTATTGTAGCCAAAAAAAAAAATGTATACATTTCCATTACTTTCCACATAGCCACCATTGACTTGCACACATTTTTAATATCATGTCACCAGTTTCCTTATTTCATTATCAAAGAAGTCCATTGCTAATGCCTTGAACTATTCAACAATGCCATTTTTCAGTTCATTGTCATTTTCAAACACTTTAATAAAAGCCATTTCTTAAAATGCAAGAGTAGGAAATAGTCACTTGGCCTAAGATCAAGATTATAAAGTGGGTGATCAAAATTTAATTCTTGACCATACACTGCATCTCAACCTGTTCAAATCTTGCAACAATTAATTCATAAATTTATAAAGTGAAGAAACACAAGACAAAAAACATAAAAGAATAGCAAAATATTTTAAATAATTAAATAAGTTATTGACAAGACTATGTCTTGTTTATAAAATCGTACTGCCCGATGTTCTTACCAGCATAGGAGATATGAAGGAGTACATGTCGAGAGTTGATATTTGGCACAGAGTATTAGGTGCCCAAATCATTTGCGCGTAAAAAAATCCAGACTCGTAGGTAGTCAGGGGACCGAGAATCGAGTCAAAATAAAATACAAAATGGCAACCCTCTTCTACAAACAGGCAAAACAGCCACCTCACCCCACTGAAGTCAGGTAGGGGAGAATACCACCTGCAGTCATTTTAAGAAGTGAACATCCAGTTTCTTCTAGGTTAAATAAAATTTATAATCTAATTTTGTAAATTTGGGAGTGCATCAAATATGACGTTAAAATGGTTTTATGTCATTACAAGTAAGGTTTTTTAACACTATCTAGTATAGTAAAATCGTAGGACCGATAAAAATTTGATGTTATATTAGGGTTGTCGTTACATCTGATGACGTTATAATCGGGTTAAACTATATATTGTTTGTGCAAAATAAAAAAATAATTTCGGATGATACAATAGCCACGATTATTTTTTTCAAAAACGGGAAATTTTCGTTACACATCGACAAAAATTCAACCCAGGCCGACACGCAATGGAGAGAAATTTTGAAATTAGATAGGTTAATTTCATTGAAGATGCATCATGGACATGGCCGGCAAAGTTTGAACAATTGCACCCAAAAGCAGCAATATCAAAGAAGATAGGAGAATGAGAACGAGACCTGCCTTGAGCATCAAAGTGATTCAGTCTCCGAGACATAGTCTTGTCCCAAATTTTTTACTTGTTTAATATTCAAAAAACAGTTTCAAGAATATCTTAAGTTGGATTTAATTATAATGTAGGAAACACGAAAGTAGCATAATTCAAATATCAATATGGAATCTCCAAAATGATCAACTTATATTGTTTAATAAATATTTAAAAATTGTTCTTTAAACATCAAATTCTATCAAAGTACATTATGGTCTGTTGATAAATTTCTATACATATCTAAACTGATTACAGTCTAACCTTGGGTTTTGAATGCCTCATTTATCAAACAAAATTTTGAACACCATATTTGCTCTGGTTGCCATACAATAACTAAGTTGCCTAACAAGCTACTTAGCAAGAGCTGGCCACAGATTAGAGAGACATAGATGTCAACTCCGTATACTTCCCATGTTAAAGAAAGTTGACAGCCTGACCAATCAATGACAGGACTACCAATTCGGAAGTTAGTGGTGCCAAGATTGCCTTGTGACATTACACATCACAACACAAACAATCAATGATGTTGTTATTCAAGTTAGATGTCAATGTGCAAGTGGGTAAGATACTACTTTCATTTATTGGTACATGTTGCAACTGAATTTAAATCAAATTAATTAATTAATAAAAACTGCATAAATTGACATTCACATAATATAAATGACATCCATGAATCCACATTTAAAGGTGCTTAACTCAAATTAAATAAAAATTTATTAATATAATATTATATATTATAATATTAATATTTAATTTAATATTTATTAATACTAGGTAGCCAGTTAATTAAAACTAAAAATAATAATTTAAACTGATCTTTACACCAAAACCGAAACTAAAAATAAAATTGAAATCAAATCAATTGAAATATGATTTCAAAAAGTGTGGATAAGGTACTTGTCAGACTTGATAGACTGACT